ATAAGCTCACACCATATCTATCTTAGGCCGCAGAATGAAAAAGAAGAGAGATACAATATTGCGTATATCGGGACAAGGATTGCAATAGAAAGATGTTTTGGCGTTTGGAAGCAAATATTTCGTTGCTTACTAGATGGCGGGCCTGTTCGCGGCGCGTAATAAAAGCGGCATTACTGCCGTATTGATGAAAAATGGCGACATTGTTGCAACAGCCCAACTGATAATACATTGCTAGAAATTCACACAGAACGCGATACTTTAATAATTCGCGCAACACTGCGGTTGTGATTACAACTCGAACAAGCCCGGCATGACTGTTTCCCTGCAAAATGCAAAAACACTTATCGTCGCACTTGCAGTCCTACATAATTTTGCAATCGTTGAAAACGAAAACACGGAAGAATTTGTTAACAATATATGTATGTATTACAAATAACAAAACTTTGAAAATAGAGGACATGTTGTTTATTGGAAAACGCAAACAAAAAATCAACATCCATGTCGGGGATGCTCTATCTTTTGGTCGTATTACCCACTTTGAATTTCAACCGGAAGTAGATTTAATTGACCGGAAGTCTTTTTTTTAATGGGATATATGTACAGGTTTTTACCAACTAACGGGGTGGATGGGTGGTCTAGGACATCCTGTATATTTTTGTGAAACATACATACATATGTTTCAGCACCATGCAATAATTCTATACTAACACCCGACCGTTCACTTGATGAAATTCCCGATGGAAATCCAGCAAGCCAGAGACGAGCAAATATTATACTTAATATGTTTATTGACAGCAATTTTTAAATTTCAAACAATACGCCATATAATTAATTAAAAATAACATATCGCCAAGAAATATTAACTGTTTTTTAATTTATTTTAACTTTGCCTCTTTTCATAAAATTCGCATTGCTTTTTAGAATTTCATATCCCAAGTCCAAATTCCTTTGCTTCTTCCTTTCAGTTTCCATTTTCATTACATGCCACTTTTTCGTACACTTTAAGTTGCAATCCAAAATCATTTTTGTTGCTTCTACACCTGAAGGATTCTGAAAAGTTTTATTTACATACAATTTACTTCTGTGACTATAAGAATTAGCAGCTTAACTCGAAAGGTAGATGTATTGTAGAACGATTTCCCGTCATGCCTTTTCAAATTTCGGTTGTCTGTTTTGCATCGGCGTTGTGCCATCGTCACTGTCATGAAGATTCGTTTGACAACACATCCGGGTAGGAAACCATGCCGGAATCACCACCAAGCTAAGAGATAATCGACTTTGCCTCCGCCAAACACCGGACCTATATCAACTTTTCTAAAGCTGATTGGAAAGGTTACGCGGAGTTTACCGAAAACACCTTCACAGCGCTCCCCACACCAACCGACGTCCATCTCGGTGAACGTAAGTTCCGCAGGGCTGTCACTGCTGCTGCAGCTCGCTTCATACCGGCAGGATGTATATCGGACCCACGTCCAAACTTCCCTGCCGAAGCGGCTGTTCTAGCCGATGAGCGTGATAGCCTTCGTCAGGCCGATCCCGGAGATCCCCGTATCAGGGATCTCAACGCGGAGATTCGGCAACTAGTAAACGTACATAGGCGGAAGAAGTGGGAGGAGCATCTGAAGACCTGTAATTTCACCTCTGGTGTGAGCAAGCTTTGGTCAACCGAGAGATCATTGTCTAATCCGACGAAGCACGACGACAGAGTCGAAATTTCCTTCGGCGGCCATGCCTCGTCGGACCCGGAGCGATGCGCGAGCTATTTTAGCCGGCAATTCATACTGCATCCTCCGGGGAACAAAGCCAAGCGTCGAGTGACCAGAAGGCTGCACAAACTGCCAACAACTTGTGCCCCCCTTGCTTTCACTTGCGGTGAAGTTCAGGTGGCCATCGGGAAGGCGAAAGCCTCCAAAGCCATGGGTCCCGACGGAATATGCATGCTGATGCTGAAAAATTTGGGTCCTGCGGGGGTAGCGTGCCTAACGGAGGTCCTCAACTTGTCAATGGCCACTCTCATCATCCCAGACATCTGGAAGGTGGGGAGAGTGGTCCCACTGCTCAAACCGGGGAAACCTGCCAACTATAGTCCGATAACACTCCTTTCCCCGGTAGCGAAGACACTCGAGGACTTGCTACTCCCGTACTTCACAAACCACCTGACTCCACCGAAGCATCAGCATGGTTTCCGTAAAGTGCACAGTACAACAGCACTTAACGCCATAAACACTCAGATAACTCGTGGCCTTAACCGAAACCGTCCCTGTGAGAGAACGATTCTAGTAGCGTTGGACTTGTCAAAGGCGTTTGACACCGTCTGCCATTCCACGCTACTAGAAGATATAGAGGCCTCCTCTCTCCCACAGAGGCTCAAACGGTGGTCGGCAAATTATCTGAGTGGTCGACATTCGTCGGTAATGTTTAGAGACAAAACGAGTAAGCAGCGAAAAATAAAACAGGGGGTTCCTCAGGGTGGTGTCCTTTCCCCGCTACTGTTTAACTTTTACATTTCAAAGCTCCCTCAACCACCAGAGGGAGTCTCGATTGTCTCTTATGCCGACGATTGCTCGATCATGGCGACTGGGAATGGAATTGATGACCTGTGTTCGAAAGTAAACGGCTATCTCTCCGAACTTTCTCGCTTCTTCACTGCAAAGTGTCTAGCCCTCTCCCCTACGAAATCCTCTGCGACCCTGTTCACAACCTGGACGAAGTAGGTCAGGCTACCGCTGGGGATTCACGTCGATGACACACCAATTCCGACGGTGAATAACCCCAAAATACTCGGAGTAACATTCGACAGCCTGCTCTCCTTCTCTGCGCACTCAACCGCTATTGTCAATAAAGTACAGAGCCGCAACAAGGTCCTCAAGTCGCTAGCCGGCAGTACTTGGGGCAAAGACAAAGAAACGTTGCTGGCAACATACAAGGCAATAGGCCGGCCGGTTTTGAACTACGCAGCGCCAGTGTGGTCGCCAGGGACTAGTAGGACGCAGTGGACGAAGCTACAGACTGTACAGAACACCCCACTCAGGACAGCGACAGGATGCCTCCTGATGTCGCCTGAACACCACCTGCACGGCGAGGCGCAAATGCTCCCTGTAAAGGAGCACAATATAATGCTCTGCAAGCAGTTCCTGATCGGGAGCCACAGAAGTGGCCACCCAAGCAGACAGCTGCTTGCTGAGGAGCCCTCGCCTAGGCACGTCAGGAGGCATCTATATGAACTGACGGACGAAGTCCAGAGGTTCATTAAGCAACCTCTGGACCCGACAGCTTACCGACAGGCCCTGAACGGCATTCACAGGGACTCAGTCTCGAGTTTAGTAGACTCTAGACCTGTGAATGCCGTTCTAGACATACCACCCACGGACATTGACGAGACGGAGCCTCATCTGCCTCGGGAGACACGCACAACACTTGCACAACTTCGCTCCGGCTACTGCAGAAGGTTGAACTCCTACCTGAGTAGGTTGAATGAGGATGTGCCGAATGAGTGTCCGGCATGCGGAGAGACCCCACATGACTCGAAACATCTCTTCGCATGCCCGGAAAACCCGACAACCCTAACGGCCTTGTCCCTGTGGACAAACCCCACAGAAGCTGCACGCTTCCTAGGGTTGCCGTTAGTGGAACTTGATGACAACGACTGAGATACCAACCGTCCTGGGCGGGGTTGTTGTAGCCGCTACAACAACAACAACATAATCGATATTTAGACTTTGGTACAATGTGCCATTCACATGGTACACACATATGATTGCGAATGTATGCAGGTGCTATTTAAATACTATGTAATTCCAAAATTCCCATCAAGTCTCATCAATGCTTTAGCTTGGGTAATAAAGAGCACGGTGCTTTATTCTAATGTCAACCTTTAGTCACTAGCTGTTACTCCTTATACACATGCTTGTATATGGTTCAGCCTTATCGCCAATTCAATGTGAATAAATCGTTCCTATAATTTAAGGCAAATCAAAAATTAATTGGGAATACATGTTTTTGCTTTGCTATATAATTTTTGGAAATATTTGTTCGCAAGAAATTCGCAATAAGGGCCACTGTTTTTTATCAAAGATAAACGGCATAAGTTACCTGCTTACGCTTTTTAGTTGCCCTACTAGTATTAAGAGATGGTGTCTTTATATTTTCAACATTATCTTGGCTAGAGCCAACGATGTCTGCTTCCTGCATTACCTCCACTGTGTCTGCTTCGATATTACTTTTTTCGCATCCCTCCAATTCGGCGCTATTTTGTATGGGCAAGGATTCTTCCAATACTACAACCTGGAAATATATTTAAACTATGCAATACTATGCCGCAGATTTTGACAATATTTACCTGCTGATTTGAAATGAATTGAAGTTGACAACAAACTCATTTGGCTGCCAAACGGAGATGTCTTCGTTTGATAATGGTTCAGCAACAGTATGCGCCCCACCGCCAGTTTTCAAAAGTTCACGCCTCTCTTTCGACTTCGCTTTTTTTGCCGTCATTTTCACAATAGTCCACTCTGATTTCAATTGGATCACAGTTCGCTTAGTTGCACATATCTCACTGAAGCTGCAAGACAAAATGTTGAGCAAAGGATATTTCCCAATGTAAAGAAATACGTATGAACATGAATATTAAGTTGTACGTACCTCTCTTGTAAGTCTCTCTAGGCCTCTTGTTTCGCCTTATTTGAGTTTGTATCCGTGTTCTTATTTTCAATAATTTTCACCCGTTCACGAACTAATTCTTGAAGCAAAACCTTAAAAATTATATTAAACACAATGAATTATATTTTATATCCACACAATTAGACATACCTTATCTTCCGCAGTCCAATTATCCCCCCCCTGTTCCGTATCTTTTGCTCCATTGCTAATATAACTAAAGCGCTTAGTTAAATTATAGTTGCGATCCCGTACGAGTCCGGACTAGTCAGAAATAGTCAGAATCAGTCAGATTTTACTGGAAATCGATCCCGTACTCGGTTCTCTGACTATTGAGAGGACAAAAAAGAGAGTAAATTCGGTTCTCTCTCTGTCAGAAGTTACCAGTTTTAGTCCGAGAATTTTTTGCTGGTAAATTCTGGTAAATGTGTCAAACGATCAGCTGTAGTGTGTTTGGCAACCAAATTGTAAACAAAGGAAAAGTGCACTCTGCTAATTCATGTTGCAAAGTATTTAATTATTTGTTTAAGTGGATTCTAATGAATTTTAAAGTATTTTTGGTTATTTACATGTGTGAACTGAGTGTGTTTACATACAAAATAAGCAAAAATTTACAACCAAAATTTGGAGGTTATGTTGAAGTTGACAGAAGTTACCATTTTTTACTAGAAAGCGATCCCGTACTTTTCAATGTTACTCTCTCGCTCTAAACGAATTTTTATTTTTTGACAGTTTTACTAGTCCGAGTCCGAGGAATACGGGATTGCACCTTATATTTCCAACAAATGAATGTTTATATTATTTTTTTTCAACTGACTGAAAAGGTATTGACATTTTTCTAGCCAAACCTGCCGTATTTATTTCGAGTTTTGACACCAAAGGCTTTACAAATATTTTGTAGTTACAAAACTCTTATAAAATGTTTATGAATAGTGCTTACTTTAACAATAGTGCTTACTTTAAAAATAGATTGTGCCTTTACTATTATAAGTTTATAAAGCATTTTAAGTTTGTTTTATGAATTAGGCTGTTAAACTTATGAAATGCTTGTAAAGACTTTATCATACTAATAGCGGAAAATATTATTCATAAACCTTTTGTAACCAGCCTAGTAAATGTTAAACCTGCGAATGAGCTGCAAATCTATTTTCATAATGTGTCTGGCATGCGATCTAAAGGTGATGTGGTTCGTAGACTAAGCTCACGGGAAATGTTTAGTTATTGGCCCATCGTTTTTGGGGTTGGGGGCGGAGGGGGAAGGGGCCTGGCCGCCCAAACCCCCATCATTCGAAAGGGGACAGTCGCCACTTTACGGAAAGTCCCACCCCCCCCTTGGGGACCTCCCACAGACCCCTAGTGAACCGTTTGAAAATGGGGTAAAAACGGGATTTTCCGAGGCAAACTGAGCAGTTTGAAGTGGAATATAACCCAACTAACGAAAACCGTGGGATTTTTAAATAAAAGAAATTATCCGAAGTTGGTTATCAGGCGATTTGAAAAAAAAAAGATAACTAAAAAAATAAATTAGGAAAAAAAATTAAACTAAAAATATTGTGAAATTAAGAAAAAAGCGACAGATAGAAATGTTGTAGTAATAGTAATATGATAGTATTTTAGCGCAGAACTT